CGGGCCCGTACCGGACCGGGGACCGGCAACGGGATCGCAACCCTCGGTGCTGCCCCTGCAACTCGCTCAGCCAGTGAGTGGGAACCGGTCCGTATGTGGGATCCGAACCCTCGGGCGGGAGCGCCGCCGCGCTTCCCAAGCGGCGCACTATCCAGTGCGCCACCGGGCCGGCCCCAGAGACAACTCTTCTAATTAACAGCTATGTGTCTGGGAGAACTTGCAAATCATAAAAATGAAAACATGATAAACATTGAAAGTACAAGGAAAAGAGCCCCTACATTTACTAATAAAAGGATGATTTGGTTAAGACACAAAGGAAAAATAAAGGTTTGAAAAGATATGGAATTAAATACAGGCTTTGATGCAGTCCTGTTTCTGCCAGTTTTCCTTAATTGCATTTCAGCCATGTGACAGAACTGACAGGTCTGCTCAGTGCAAGGACTGCATCTAATCTTGATGGGGTTGATGATGCTGCTGACTTTGTGAGCTGCTTTCCAGACTTAGTGTGGACTCTGAGAGATTTCTACCTAGACCTAGAAATAAATGGGCAACTCATCACAGCAGATGAATACATGGAGAATTCACTGAGACCAAAACAAGGTAACAGCAACTACACTTTTACAAAGAGGAAAAAAAGTAACCTAAGAAATAATCTCTTGTGTAGGTGGTTACATTTATAGTTGCTATATTTACTCATCTAGCTCTCCTACAAAATAAATAATATTATTAATTTAGGATGACCTAATAGATTCAGTATTAAATTGCATCACTCCTCTGCTCTCAGAGCAAGTTTCTTTTCTTTTTTCTTTTCCCTGATTAGTTACCTTGTATTTTTTTTATTAATGTTTGCGAAGATAGTTTAAACTACATAACATCGCTTGGAAGGAACATTTATTTAAGAGAAATAGATGAAAATGAATGTAAATTCTATACTTAATAAATCCTATTTTTCCTTCTTCTCCAGGTAGTGATCAAAAAATTGAAAAGTACAATTTGTCCCGTCTGTGTATACACAAATTCTTTCCAATAAAGAAATGCTTTATCTTTGACTCACCCGCTTACCAGAAAAAGCTTGCCCAGCTTGAGGAACTGCATAATGATGAACTGGATCCTGAATTTGTGCAACAAGTGGCCAAATTCTGTTCTTACATCTTCAGCCATTCCACGGTCAAGACTCTTCCAGGAGGCATCAAGGTCAATGGGCCCCGTGAGTACCTTTTTTTAGGATTTTTCTTCAATTCAATCTAAAGAAAAAGGAACATTTAAGATTCTCTTTGCAGGGCTGATGTGAAAAATGCATAGGCAATTGGACAAAAATCATATGTATTATATTTATTAAATTCTATAGTGGATATCAAACATATTTCTAGTGCTTTTAAAGTAATGCTTCCAAAGTTACAAAAACAGGAACATAACCTGAAGGTAAGATTCTGTTAAAGAAGTTCTACCCATAAGTGATCCACTATTGTGCTAGGCCAACCCCACATGGGTTGGTGGCATTTGTTCCATAAATATATTGGATTCTTATCATGTGTCACAGTCTCTGATGGGTACAAGATGAGCAAGCCGTACATGTTCCCTGTAGAAATGGAACTTGGTTGAAATAAGCTTCTTGGTCTAGTTTTTCCTAAGGACTCCATGTCTCAGAACTCTGCATATAATTGCTTTGTTATAGAGGAAAGTTGAGTGCAAACAGGAGTGTGCGAATGATAAGGAAATAAAACAGGAACGTTCCCACAAAGAGTAAGGGAAACTTGGTCTAATTTGCTCACTTTGAGCTTTTCAGAGGAGGGTAACTCTCATCTCATCTTAACTGTTCTTAAGTGAAAGAGAAAAGGGAATTCTGAAAGAATGAAAAACTAGAGCAGAGGAAAAGAAAGGGAGATTAAAAGGTAAAAGGCCTATAGCATTCTAACCAAATGAATATGAATGCCTTTTATGTAATCATCTCCTCATTTCTTCCTGGGAGAAAAATGAAATGTGGACAATCACATCTTGGGATTTCCCCTATTTTCTTTTTTGAACACTGTTTCTATTCCCAAAGAAGAAAAGACCTGCCTTCTTGATAATACAGTTTCCCAAAGGAACTTATCTGAGCTACTTGAACACTGCTCAGAATGCTGGTAAATGTCAGGTGATATACTGTTAAGATTCTCAGAACTAGTCAATGTAGGCCATGCCCTCATTCTCTGCAAATAATACAGGAATCTCTTCCCTCTGTAAAGGTCTAGAGAACCTGGTACTGACCTACATCAATGCCATCAACAGTGGGGAGCTGCCGTGCATGGAGAACGCAGTCCTGACCTTGGTGCAGATAGAGAACTCAGCTGCGGTACAAAAGGCCATTGCCCACTATGACCAGCAGATGGGCCAGAAGGTGCAGCTGCCCACAGACACCCTCCAGGAGCTGCTGGACCTGTACAGAGCCTGTGTGAGAGAGGCCACTGAAGTCTTCATAAAGAACTCTTTCAAGGATGTGGACCAAAGATTTCGGAAGGAATTACAGGTAATTTTTTTTGTGTGTTCTAGTTCATGGGTATTAGAGTCAATAGAAGTCAAAGTATTGCTATAAATCATAAAATAGGACTCAAGAATGACAATTTCTACTAGACTGAAAAATAGTGATAATCACTTATGTGGCCATGATATCACTTTCATTCTGAAAACAAACAAACATCTAACTACTCTGAGCCCTGTAGATTCTGAAAGTTTCATATATGCACACAATTCACCTTTACTATGTTATACCCAAGGACTAAATTTGAATTAATTTTATTCCTTAAAAGAATTTTATTTACAAAGTATTAATTAACTTTCCTTTTTTATTAATCAAGCATACAGAATTACCAGTTGGATCTACTAAAATATGATGTTTTCAAGTTTAATAGAATAAGTGGATATCATTACAGTCAATAATTCTACTCTACCTTCTCACTTGAAATCTGAGACCCAGTAAAACACTGAAACCATGAATGTTGTAAAACAGTAGGCTACATTTAAAATTAGGGCATGAGGCTAGAGGTTTGTGGCCTTAAGATCACATCTAAAGCAGAAATAACAAGAGAAAGGGGTTTCAAAGGATTTCAAACCCAAAAGTAAATATCGTTTTTCTACAGAGTATCATCCTTGAAACTTTTCCAAGTTTGGTGGGAAGGATACAGTCTTGCTTGAATTCCTCTAAGTTTCTAGAAAAAAATATAGATTCTCTTTGAGAATCATTTCTGGAAATACTGAAGAGTTGCTAACATTTTCTCCATGGAATTTTGTCTCTTTGAAGACCATACTAGATGCAAAGCAGAATGATATTTGCAGACAGAACTTGGAAGCATCATTGGATCATTGCTCAACTTTACTGCAGAGTATTTTTGGTCCTCTACAAGAAGCAGTGAAGCAGGGGGTTTATTCTAAGCCAGGAGGCCATAATCTCTACATTAAGAAGATGGAAGAGTTGAAGGCAGAGTACTATCAGAGGCCTAAGAAAGGAATACAGGTATCCCTAGTTTTATCTATTAACTGTGGGAAATTACTGGGGGGGGGGGGGGGAAT